GATTTTTGGCATAAAAGAAAAATTAATAATTTTGACCCATACAATGTATTTTTGGCTATTGCTACAAATATAGCCTAGCGATTTAAGACTGGTTTTGTGGTCCAGGGTCACATATATACATTTAAAAATATAAAATGAAAAAAAAAAAATATAATTTAAATGTATAAATATATTAAAATATTAAATTTGGTGTCAGTAGGACTTTTTCTTTTATGAAAAATAAATTAATACTTCTTTTTCAGCAAGTATGTCTTACATTCAGTGCTTGAAGTGGGCGGGTATGCACCGGTACGCAGTACCGGCACTTCTATATTTGAACTCTTTAGCGTACTGGCACTTTTTCATACGTACCGGCACTTCTGACATGTTGCCGGTACTGAGTCAAAGCGTCAGTGTCTGGGTGATTAGAAATGACACTATAAAGCACACTACCCAGGAGGTCATTTGAAACTGGTAAACTGGAAAGTTCAAGATTCCAGTAAGGGAATGCATTAGTAATAAGTACACGGATGATTTCATCAGAGATGGCGGAGAGAATAGTGACTCGCATCTAGATGGCAGTAAATTATTATTTTCAGCATGTATTTGGCTTAAAAGCATGAGTGTTTTATAATGAATGCTGGCTGAAAGGTGTTTTAGATTATGCGCTGGTCAGTGGTTTAGTGATTCTGAATGGATCCGTATAGTAGCATGTACAGTCAGGTTAAGGCAGCAGGTTTAGTGGTCTTTTGGCGTCTCCCTGTGGTCCTGTTTGGTATCGCAGCTTAACTGGTGCTTATTTATATTAAAAATGCTCTAAAAAAAAGTTCTTTCTTTCTTTTCTTTTATTAGTTTTTTTTTTTTTGGGGGGGGGGGTACCAGCAGGGGCGTAGCGGACGGGCACGCAGGGTACGCACTGCGGGGGGGCCCCGCATGATGGGGGGCCCCGCGATAAGACAATGGGGTGCATTGAAAGACATGATCATGTATCGGCGATAGCCAGAGATATTGTCAAAAGCATTAAATATTGTCAATATTAAGAGTATTTGGCATTTCCATTTAATGTAGTCCTGTTAAATTCTTATTATTATTAGGGCTATTATTATTACGTTACTTTTATTATTAAAATAAAAATACAATTAATTTGCTCCGCAATAATTTCATTGCGCATCACCGCATAACTGACGCGCTGTGAGGATTAGCTTACTCCTCATTGGAAATGTTTTTAATAAGGTCTTTTAAAACAGGTCTATTATATCCTACAATGAATTATAGGCCTATAATTCAAAATGTTGATACTTGCAGTCATCAATGAAAATTAAGAGCAGCTTTATTTCTAGCGCAGACTTTCAAAAACCTGTTTAACACTAAATATATGTCTCACTATGTTTGGGCCACAAAAGAAACATTAAGGGAAAAAATTTAAACAGTTATACCATTATCAGCATATGAAGCAGATTCGTCTCTTGTCGTCTCTGAGAGAATAATTATTTATTTATCTGGCGCCGAGTTAATGCGGCGCCAGATGCAGAAAGCGCTCTCAGTTTTTACTTTCACTTTCTGGTGAAAGACATTCACCAGCATAAGTCTTGTGCAAAGTTTGCACGTTGCTTGTATGATATCCATTTGCTCGCCTTCATGGTTTAAAACAGAAAATAATTCCAATATTGCAACGTAAATCCCAACCCCCGCCCCCTCGGATTTGCGCTACGCCACTGAGTACCGGCACTTATTTTTTTCCACTTCAAGCACTGATTACATTGATGCGACAGTAAAGACATTTATAATGTTATAAAAGATTTCTATTTCAAATAAATAAATTGATAATACATTGATAGCAATAACATTGATAATAATAATAATAATAAACATTTCTTGAGCACCAAATCAGCATATTAGAATGATTTATGAAGGATCCTGTGACACTGAAGACTGGGGTTATGACTGCTGAAAATGCAGCTTTGCCATCACAGGAAATAAATTACATTTTTTAAATATATTAAAATAGAAGAGTTATTTGAAATTGTAATAATATTTTACAATATTACTGTTTTACTGTATTTTTGAAGTGTTGGTGAGCATCTGAGCCTTCTTTCAAAAACATAAAAAAATCTTACCAACCCCAAACTTTTAAACGAAAGAGTAGGTGAATGAGAACTGTGGTTGTCATGCTACAAAAAGAAAAATAAATAAATAAATACAAATACAAATACAAAATAAAATAAAATAAAAAGACACACTGTAAAAAAAAGTGGTCCATAAGATTTGATGATGAATCTTTTTAATGAACACCACCCTGCATTTGATCTGTTCATACAAAGCTTTTGTTTGACTTCAGAAGACTTGGAATATAATGCACAAGTTGTATGGGCCACTTTTATGATCTTTTATAGTGCTCCTTTGTCCTTTGGTCCTTGACAGCCAAAACGATGTAGCCTTTTATCAGTATTTATTTCTTGTTATTTTCTTCCGCTGCGCAGGCTGGGAGTCTAAGGTAAAAGCTGGCTGCAGGGACCACAGGGCTACCGTGACATTTAATGTGTTGGATAGATTAGCAATGTATCATGTATCAGAGTGAATTGAGGGGAGTGACTAGAGAGCGCTACTCTATGTGAGGGCATTTTTAAGGACACAGAGTCCTGCTACCTCATTGTACATGAGATTTTAATATTTGGGGAATACAGCAGGGCACATACATACAGTACATTTCAATATGGTACCACACACCACTACCTCGTGATAATTCATTCTGAAAGAGTCTGACAATATTAATGATGAAAAATTTTCATGTTAATAAATTCATGCAGGACATTCTATGTATTCTGTATGTCACAGAGCATCATTCCTTACCTATTCCTGTTCATAATTCTTAACAAACACAACAAGATGCAACCATTTCCAAAGAAACACCATTTTCAAAGTCAACAGAGTGCATTAGTGTCTGCCCACTTTTTCCATAAGGCTTTAAAAAAATCTTTGTGAAAGCATTAAGCCATGCACCTAGCCAACCAGCTATGAGATGAATCACATTACAAACTCTTATTTGATGGAAAAATGTATCTGAAAATCGAACAAAATGACAAAGGTACAAGACTATGTATTTAATGGCTTTAGTCAGGGAAAACTAGCATCCCAATCAATGTAAATGATAATCAAATTAAAAATGATGGAGAAATAATATTCATTTAAATTAATTTTATTAATTTAAATGTGTTGATTATATCTATAGAAACAATATATATAGTTCCGGTCGTGAGTATGTGGGGTAAAGCAGCGCTGTTTTATCATACTACATAAAGCGCTCAAGCGCATGCATGAAGCTTGCTATAGCACACCGGCAGAAGTAATGATCATGAATGTGTCCGGGAAAAACAGTAAGGAGGCTGCATTAACATTTTAATAATTTATTGATAAACTACTGCTTTTTTTGTTTTCGGTTTAAGAGATGAAGTCGACGTAACTCGTCATCTCCACAGTAGTGATGCGCCTGTATGCATGTTTCATACAGATTACATAATCCAAGAATATTTGTTTTCCCATTTGATTTGGTTTAGGGATGCACCGATATAAAAATGTTGGCCGATACCGATAACCGATAATTCTTTATTTTTGAAAGCCGATAACCGATATGTTGGCTGATAAATCTATATCCACATTTTTATATACTTTTTGAGAGCCTGATTACAAAAAAGGTCTCATCATTAAAACCCACATCCCAAACACTTCAACATAAGCAGCCTAGTTTGAACGGTGTACGTTTTTACCGATAACAGAAAAAAATGAGCATTTATCGGCCGATACCGATATGGTGGCCGATATATCGTGCATCCCTAATTTGGTTCATTTGAAAGTAGACATTTCACTCTCTTCAAGGCAAGCATACATGGAGTTTCGCGCTCAAGTTACTATAGCCAAAGGTCAGTCCTAAATGCGCTATGGCTGAGGGGGCTGCCTGTCCCTTACAAAGGTGTTTAAAAGAGGATGGTGGCCATTTAGCGAACAAGATTATATGTCAGTGAAAGAACAGTAACATAATCACAAGTATTGCCTCAGGTTTCACAATACTGGTCTCGTATAATAATTACAGCAATAACAAAAGATGAGATTCTGATTAAAAATTTGCAAGGAAAAGAAGTAACTGCAGTCCCTTGGGCATGTATTAACATTCAGAAACCATTTTTCTCATACTGAATGGACTAGCAAAACTAATTTCTTATTGGATTTTTTTCCACAGGGTAGAGAATGAGCCCTGATGGCTGACAACCTGTGTTCATGTACAGTGATTCAGCGAGGAGATGCATCGCTCTCAGTCAAATATAAGTATGAAAACATTTAAATTCTCATCCTTAGATGACATTTCTGACACTCTGAGTGGTAGTTTACATGTTTTATAGTTTGTTGTGCTGTAACTCTGAGCTCATTTAAACTGCCAGGCAAAGTAAGAAGAAAAAGGGTTCCCTTTAAAACAACACTGCTTAATCAACTCAGTGTCAGGATAGCCCAGTTGAATCCACGCGATAGAAAAGCGGCACTTTCACGTTATGATATTACAACTGTGAAATTACAAACAAAAAATACACATTCTGAGACATGAACTGAAATGAATTGTGAATTTTATTAACATTAAATCGTCCTCCTCCCATTTTCACCTCAAAATTATGGGGAGGCTGTGCCTCCCCTGCCTCCCCCGATGAGCCGCCACTGGTTGAATCACAACTTGGAGCCACGTTGCCATGGTTTCTGTCTCGACCCCCAACTAGCGGCCTACAGTTTGGTTTGTTTGTTTATTCCTCAGGATAAAACTGGTATCAACATTACAAGAGTGTGAAACCTCTGTTCTACAAATTTGTGTAAAATTGTGCTCTATAACTCCAAGGTGTGCTTGAAATTCACAACCCACCAGCAATGAGTGAGATACAAATCATGGACTGGAAGAGACAGTAAAGGATGACAGAAAACATCTCCACTCTTTGAATACATTGTACATTTAGAGAATACTGGAAATTGGACATTTGGCTTACCTGAACAAATGAGTTTCATCAACATGTATTCCCTGCCACAGTCTTTCCTATAGTAACATCTTAAATGATTGACCAAGCAGGTTCCAATTCTGACCTTCTTTGGGCAAAGAAGGATGATGTTTTCATCTGCAGGAATGAGAGAGAGATCAAAGAGAGAAAGAAAACGACAGCCATCCAGATGTTTAAAGGTCCTGGCTACATCTCACCCAATGACCACCCACCCTATTTCATTCATATGACCAAGCCAAAACACATCAAGTCAGTTCATATTCCAAGCCAAAACACATCCAGTCAGTTTAGAGGACATTTATCCAGAGAGGTACGCCAACTAACCACCTCTCACACTTCAGCTTGTGTATTAAGCCTGACTTCAATACAAACGTATAATTAAAATATTGTAAGTCTTGTTTTTGTATTCTCTGCAAGTCCAGCTTGCACAAATATTGAGATAATTAGAAAATCACAATTGAGTTGTAAAGAGTTTCTGCTTGATTTTGAAAAGGGCTATTTAACAAGTGCAAAGAACAGCATCTTTATTATCAAACCTGATGACTTCAAATTCAGTACTCTGGGGTTATTTATTTCATGTACTGTAGCATAACTTACCAAGGCTCATTTCCCAGGCTACTAATGATTTACTTACTTTCTGCATTTGACCATATTAAATACTTTTCAAAAACAACACTGTTGTCACAACTATATGAAAATGGAATTTAAACTTTAAACTTGTTCTTGTTTTCTTTTTCTGGCTGATTCTCTGGGCAATAACAAATAGTAAACCTCTTCAATCTACATTTTTTTCCTTGAAAAAGCAGCCAAGTTGAGTACATATCTTTAGCCCTTATGCTATGCAGAAAATCCTTTACCTAATTTGGTGTTCACAGTCAAAAAACAGCCTTTTTAAATTTTCTTATGTCTTATGCTATATTTTTACCATATATTGGATTCAATCTTTTTATAATCTTGACTGAATCCAATATTTGGTAATAATATAGCATCAGAAGAAATTTATAAGCAATTTTTTGTAGGCTAGTCATTTTTGACCGAAAACACCACAGATTGACAGACCACAAAATGTATCACTTTTTGGGGAAATTATAATTTTTTTATACCCCGCATGAGCAAAGTCAGTAAGTTTTAGTCCAATGCGAAAACATTAACTAGCATTTTCATTAATAAGAAAATCCTCTCTGGGTCAAAATGACTGGAACACAACATGGGTTAAAACGGAACAACAGCTGATAATCAAATGGCATACATAAAGCATACACTAACCTCTACATAACCGAAAGCAACTATCTGTCTAATTATTCAGGACTCACAAGTGCATTTGAGAAAACATGCATAAAAGACTCAAACAAAAAGTACTCACATGCTTTGGTGTAATTCTTGCCAGCCTTGATTATATCTTAATTAGTGAAAACAAGATGACAGTGCAGGAGGAGAACTAGACATGGGACAGAGAGACAAGAAAGAGTGAAAGCAAGAAGGGAAAAAAAAGTTTCATTTCATTACCATAAGGTATTATTTTATTTTAATTCTACATCCCTGCTTGCAGGTTTGATGCTGACAGCGTTGCATCTCATGGGATCTTGGTCTCAGGTGTGTGTGCAATTATTCAGAATCAAGGGAGACCAACTGACTACAGCAACAAGCTACCGTGCAGCCTGGCTAATAATTTAACAAACTACACAGTGACCTTTATTTTATTATGAAAATACAAAATTCACAGACAGACAGACCCAAAAAACTACTCACAATAATATGAACTTTTTAT